CTTACAGTCAATCCTTGCTATCATAATGGAAAGTATTATAGTTCCAAATTGTGCTATCCATGTTCCAGGCCTATACAAACACTATATGGGTAACAAGACAGCATAAAAACTTTAGTCTTTGAAGACTACCAACGGCCTGCGTCTTCCGAATATACTTTTAGCTAAGCGCCGTCAACAAGTACGAAGAGTCTTGACCGGGCAACTATTCGGCAAAATATCTGCGGAGATAAGTGCGCCAAATGAGTTTTAGGCTAAATGGAGCTACGTTCAGCGGAAATAGGAACATGGTAATAACATTCTCGATTGACAGTCTGTTAATGTTGAGCGGGGGTTTACCTACTTAATAAGGTCCCTGAAGAATAACCATCTGTCATCTGCCTTAGCCGCTAAATCCTGGACAAAAAACAAGGCTTTTGCTTAGTATAAGCTGGACATAAAATTTAAACTAATTCTTCAGCTTTTCAGGATCCAAAAAGCATGGCCACCTGGTGAACAATGTCGAAAGTAGGTTGCTTTAAGAAGTGCGAATCTAATAAGTCCTTTCGGTCTCCTATGGAATGGAGTTCCATCGCCTGTCTGGGCTTCTTAGTGAACAGTCATACTGGAAATAATGAAGTAGCATCAGGATAAACCCGGGTAGAAAAGACACACAGTCAAATACGAGCGAAAATGTAATGATTGGAGATTAGAATGAATGACAGGCTGAAGGGTTACGGCTGGCTGATGAAGGTAAATAAGCCGAAAGTGGTCATTCTTCGCCCTTATTGGTGCTTCAAACAGTGTAATGCTTCGACCAGCAGCAGGCGTTCCTAGATAATATGCAGCAACGATGTTCCAGCCTGCAACCAGATCTGGTAAGCGTCACCTTCGGGTGAAAGAAGGCTCGCGTGCGCCTGAATGCACTTATACCTTTTTTCACTTAACCTACGGAAAATCCTCCTTACCCCGTTAGAAAATGCCCTTTGAAGCAAGCTAGCGGTCGAAAATTGCGCGGTTTGCATGTCATATATGTAATTATTT